TTAGTGTGGGGAGCCGAGTTTTGATGCTCCAACAAGCAAAATATCTTATAGAGATTTGGGCCGGGCTCATAGATGGACTTAGGTCATTTAAAAAAGAGTTGTTGCTTCCTGCACCTTCATAATTTCTCCTTGTACCCCTTAATTAAATTAAACTCATTTTACCCTTACACTTATTTATATCTTTCATCAGTGTTTATTTCTGATCTTGTTTCATGACTGATTTTTAAGTCAACATTTCATTCTTTCCTCTTCTATGCTTCCAAAAATTACAAGAAACATGTAAGAATGATAACTATTCATACAAATATATTATGTATGAATCATTATTATATATTAAATATAAACAAATATGAACAGTGATCTTACATTATATATCAACCATCGTCATGTACCAAATATGAACCATCTCTTAAAAATCAGATATATAATGTTGTACGCACTGACACTACTTTTATTCATATTGTTGACGCATGTCTGGTAACACGTTTTATGTTTTTTTATCATAAAGACATAGGAACGAGTCAGATAATATTAAATACATCTTAATAAAAGTTAACGGAGATGAAACAGTATCCTACCATAAGGGATGCAAAACTCATATCTGAAATTAATTGAGCATCTTTTATGGAGAGGATCATTTTATACGCCTCTCCTAGTTTTTCTATTGATTGGTTCAAATCCATATCAAACGGTCATACACAATGTCATCTATCTATCATTCATTAAATATTTAATGAATTTTTTTAAAAACTAAACACAGGGTGATGATTTACAAAATTAATCAATGGACAAAAACATCTAATACCATGTTTGATTTTACGTCAAATACTTCGTAACCTTGTCCAGCAAAACACATCACATGGTTTATAATAATAACAGCTACTAAATAGACAAATCAACATATCGTTGTTATTCAATAATATTATAACAATAATTATAATAATAATAATAATAATAATAATAATAATAATTATTATTATTATTATTATTAACGAAAATACATATGTATTTATATATTTATGTATTTATATTTTTTATTATATTTTAATTTTAATTTATTAAAATTTAATATATATATATATATATATATATATATTATTTTTAAAATATAAATATGTGTTTTTGAAAATAAACTTGAAAAAAAAAACTAAAAAATAGCCTGTAATTAAAGGAATAAAAAATATTTTTTATTTTTTAATTATTATTTCATATTAAATAAAAATTGAAGGAAATATATAATTAATATAAAATAAATATAAATTATATTTTTTATGATAAAAATAAAAAAATATATATTTACACATCAGCATAGATTATTTTAGAGTTGCATGTAACCAAGTAGAGAAAATAATTAAAACAAAACATCTTACAGGGAAAATTGTCTGGTAAGTGGGTCCTGCAGTTTTGGTAACCACCAACACCAACTTTTGCCAATTTCCCCATCACACCAAATCACTTCCTTATCAACCACCCTTACTTTTTCTTTTCTTTAACAAATTTAACTATAACTTTTTTATTTCATAAATAATACCTATAACTTTATATTATTTTATAATTACAAATTATTAGATCATAAATTAATTATTTTTATAATAATCATCTTAACATTTATATTAAAGATGGTTTTATATTGAAAGTGTATTGTAAATATTTGATTGAATGTTACTATATAAAATGTACCCAAAAAATAGCATAGATATTTTTATACTTTATCATATAAATTAATATTAATTAGTTAATGTGGGTATTTAATTGAAGGAATGTTAATTATATTTTTATATTTAAAGTAAGATGGTTAAAATTTGTGATTTGTGTAACGTAAAAACTATTGATTATTCCGTTTAATTTATCTTTTTAAATAGACTATATCTAATTTTATGTTAAATTAATTGATTAAAAATTTAATTTTTATCTAATTAAAAATAAAAAAATATTAATATATTTAATCATTTTTTGAGCTGACTTTTGAGGTTAAATTTATTTAAAATAAGAAAGTGTATAATAAAAACTCATTCAAAGTAAATTTTGTAAGAAGTTTATTGAATTAAGATAATGGAATTATTATATTTATTATTAGTAGTAGTATTATTCAAGTTTAGCTAAACCATTAGGATAAAATTCCATATGGGGAAATTTTATATAATCTTGTAATAGTTTACTTACGTGTTTGTGTTAAGTGATATTCTCATAATTATTTAAATATTTATTGTATTATTTGAAAAACAATTTTCCTTATAAATCACACAAACACTATTTGATTTAGCGTGTGACGTTTTTAAATAAGATTTTAATCTTGAAATTCTCCCAGAGGATATGGTAATTATTAATTAATATTATTCAATAAAATGTAAATGCATCGAGAAAATAATTATGTATATTTTAAAAAATAATATTATAAAATTTATTTTGATTTAACTATTAAAACTTATTTAATAACTTTTTATTCCTGAAATGCAATTTATTGATTAAAATCATAAAAAAATATGTTTTTAGATCATTTTCAAAACGTGTCAGTTTTATTTTAAGTCTTTAGCATTTTATTTTTGAATAAATAATTACACAAGTCTTTTAATACTCTCATAGACTTGCATATAAATGAATTTTACAAAAGCATATTCATTGGAGATAGTTCCTAAAGTCAAATACAACTATATCTTTTAACTAATAATATCAAATAGTTTGGACTAATGAACATTAACATTTTCTTTCTCGTAAATAAATCTAGAGAGAGAACTAAATAAAAATCTAAAAAATTCCTAATATGCATTATATATAAAAATATATAAAATCTTAAAAGACTAATATATTCCTCAAGTTTTGGTTGTACATGTACATTTTTATTAATTTTGATTAAAAGGTTTCTTAAGTTAATATTCTAGTAAAGATACATAAATATCAATTTATCTGGATTTGTAGTTAATAGTATACATTTGAAAAGTTATACTATTGTTAATTATATTGACTTATAAATTTGATATTTAATATTATTATTATTATTTAATATATATCTCACCATTTATTATTATTTGAACTAATATTTTATAAAGATTGATTATTTATACTAATGTTTTATGACATAATGTTGTTTAAATTATATTTAAAAATAAATAAATTATTAAAGTGTATATTTAACTACTATAATTTTTTAATAATCTTATTTAAAATAAATAAAAAAATTATATCGATCTTATATAGAACTGATAACAAGTCAGATAATATCGATCTTATTTATTTATTTTAACGTGTCATGCCACCAAATTAACTTTACTATGATAGTTGAGTCTTATAATCAGAAACTCCTGTATGCATCAAGTGATTAAATGATATGTGTATATGGCACTTATTTAATGTAACTTAAAATAAATCACTTATAAAAACTCTTAGTTGAATTTTGAGTTAACCAATAAATTGATGTAATTTGTATTAAATGTAGAAAAAAAAGTGGATTGTATCAAACTGTTTGTAATCAATTGAGTGCATGATGAAGTAAGAAAACAAAAACAGTAATTGTCCTAAATTAGTAATATCGACCATATTCAGGGTGACAAGAAACGTTGAGTGAATTGAAAAAGTACCGAACGATTTGAAAAACGTTTAGTACTAAAAAAATTCACAACATAAATGTTTGATTTTCAAGAGGAGAAAAACACTGAAATGTTGGGCGATTTAAAGTATTTTTTATTTTGTGAAAAAACCTCAATTCAATAAGAAATTTCACTTCATTTAGTGGATAATTAAAAATGTTACGAATTCCCTTCAATATAAATAGAATAATTGGAAAAAAAGGAAACTAAAATAAATACAAAAAATGAAATGTCATCTCGAGGAATAAACAGAATATAGTCGTATTCGAGTTCATTTTCATATACATTTAAGATTCCTTCTTCTCATCATGTGTTATTAATTCCATTTTTATTAGATTAAACGTAATTTGTTAACTTTTTTTTAATTCTATTTCTGTTTATATAAAAATTCTTTTATTTAATCCCTGATTTGGTTATATTTTTTAATGTTTGAATTTAGAGAAATATAATTTAATTATTTTAGAGATAAAATTACTTTGAAAAATGATTTATATTCTGAGTTGATCTAAACTAACATTTAAATTTTACTATTAGAAACAAAGTTAAAAGTTTTTTATATGCAAAAGTTTTAGTGTTTAGTGCAAAAGTCTGTTTATGAAGAAATTGATTAATTATTTAAGATTCTTAGAGTTTCCAATATTAAAAAATTAATTTGAAATAATATGGTGAATTGATTAATTATTTAAGATTCTTAGAGTTTCCAATATTAAAAAATTAATTTGAAATAATATGCTGAAATTGATTAATTATTTAAGATTCTTAGATTTTCCAATATTAAAAAATTAATTTGAAATAATATGCTGAAATTATCACTAAAATCTGATTGAACTGTTTATTTTATTGTGTTTTTTTTATATATATAAAAAATTATTCTCTGAATACAGTAATCTCTTCTATAATTGTATTGAAGTTAACTCGGTATACTTACCGAAATAAAATCCTAATATCAAACTATTAATTAATTTTTAAATATATTTTCAATTTCCTTAAAATAAGTAAATTTTGATTTTAGTTTTTTAAGAAATTTTATTTGGTGTTGTCTCTTTAGAAAAAAAAATTGGCACTTTGAATCATAATTTTGTATGAAACTAATTAATTATTTATATATTAAAAATGAAGGAATGAAAATAAAACCTTCACATAAAATAAAACCAAATTACATATATTCTATAAGAAATAAAAAAAGAAAGTTTAAATTTAATAAAAATGATAAATAAATATTTGTTCAATAAAAAAATAAAAATTACAATTTTATAGTAATTAAAAATATATTTAAACCAACTACTAATTATAATAAAAGATATTACTTGGTTACAATGTTCACATTCATAGATAGAGAAGTTAAGGGCCAATAAATTATGAAAAAAGAAAAAAGAAAAGAGGGAATAACAAGGACGAAAAGAGGAGCAGAGGTATCTAGAGAGCGAGGTTGAGATCCAGAGAGTGATGGCGTTGGTCGTTATTACGTTGTTTGTGAGTGGCACGTGGCGAAGGAGATGCAGTACTTGGAGGTGGCGTTGTGAAACACAAAGGTTGTCCTCGGAATTCAACTTCGTTTGTGAAATCTTCCCACTCGAACGATGGCACCCAACCACAGTGTTGCTCTGTCCCCACTTTCCTCCTCTTCTCACTCTTCTCTAATTCCTCCAACTCCTTTCGTCTCCGATCGCGCGCGTCTCGGAACCTTCGCAAAAGCGCGTAAAACATTTCCATCTTCATTTCTTCTTCTTCTGCTGCTGCTTCTATCTCATCTTCCCTCTTCTCGTCTTTTCCTTTTCTCTTCTTGTCTTCCATGAATCTGCATAATATAACAGCCAACCCTGAGTTAACTAACAGAAACAGAAAACGCAAGAAAAAGGAAGAAGATATATAGAAAACAATGTCTACTGTCTTAATCGAGTGCCAAATTTTTAAGTGTCTTCATTTCCTTCTATCATGCTTTCCTTTTATAACCATACTTCACACATATGGATTCTATTAATTGTGATGTTAAATTTTATAATAGAGCAAACAAAATTTAAAAATTGTCACATCGATCATTTATTTAATAAATTATTTGAATAAAATTATCAAAAAATTTAAAAATAAAAACTCATTAATTTAAATCTTACAAATAAAACATAAATTAATTATACAAAAAATATGATATTACTTTTAACTTAAAATGATAAATTTTTTTATTTATAAATTATTTAACTTTTTTATTTTTGTTTAAAATTAAAGATTTCAATTCATACTTAAATTGATAGAGCAGAAATATTTTTTAACCATAAACCATAAATAGAAGTAAAAACATTATTTTATACCGCATTCCACTCCAGAGAAATTGCATTAACCCTTTATTTTCTTACAAATATTTTTCACCTACTCTACTTATTTTCAACCCATTCTAAATTTAAATTTCTCATAAATAGATATGATATTTTGATACTGTATATGTATTTTAAGGGTATATATATTTTATGATTACAATATATTTTATAATACACATTTTAAGATAAACTATATCGAACATAAATATAACAATAAATTAGACAAAATATTATTTAACTCGAAAAGTTGTCGTGTATATTATATTATTATTTAAAAGGTTATAATTTTTCAAGAAACTACGACATAAGATGGAATAGACGAATTAATATATAGTCTAAAACTTATCCTCGAAGTATATAGGATTACTTTACCTCGTATAAAATTCCTTCTGACCTTACTAAACATCATTATTGTAAACATAATAATGCAAAACAGTAAAAAAAACAATGATAAAAAATATTACTCAATAGTTACTATTTAATATGTCAAATCAGTCAGAATTATTTGTTTAATTGAATGTAAAAATGATAAAAAAATATTCTTAATATTTACTTTGGGTAAATATAACTTCATTTATATAACTAACTATTTTCTAAAAGTGTTAGTTAAACGAAATAAATCAATAAATATAATATATATGAAATGTTATTTAATGTAAGATCCATTTCAAAAATAGAATAAAATAAAATTAAAATGTGAAATTTTGTTTCCTAGAGGAGATGAAGTAAGAGGAGGGAAATTTAGCTTTGTCTATGCACCGACTGTTATTTTAATATTTTTTTAAAGAGGTAATGAATATATTTTAAAATGGTAATTAAAATATAAAGGCAATAAAATTTAATATTTTTTTACATTAAAATGTATTTTTAATATTTAGTACCATAAGAATAATACCTGTTAGAAACTAAGCATGTACAATTCTTTACTTAATTTTTTAAAAATAAAAGTTGATCAAATTAGTAGATAATCTTATGAATGTAATTAAATATATATATATATATATATATATATATATATATTATTTATTTCCATATAAAAAATAATATTAAAATATTTCACATTTTTTTTCAGAAGAATAAATTACAATTTCATGTAAAAACAAATGTATGATGTTTTAATATATTTATAAATTTTACATCTTTTGAAAATTTAGATTAAAGATAATTTATATATATATATATATATATAATTTTTTTTATTTAGACATTTTTAAAAAATTAACATGTCACAATATTAAAATTTTAAAATAGATAGTAATTTAAATATGATAATTTTTGGAATAAGAATATATTTTCTTCTATATTTACCTCGTAAGTTAATTCTTAAATATCTCATTTGTTACCTTCTCACGTGTACGCATAGAAAAATATTGGTTTTAAATTGATTAGAATAGAATAAAATTGATGATATGATATGGTATTTGCGTTTCTCTCTTGATAATGATATATTCGAATTGAGTACGTGGGTACTTTTCAACCTTTGGTTGGGCAGAAGAGAAGGGCATAACGGTAAAGTGGAAGATGCTGGGCGATGAATTTGCGTCATATGTGGTGTTAATCACGTATGATCCATGATGCATGACGGGAGAAACTGAGACACCCAACAACACATGAACAGAGCACATGCTCAATCAATGGTTGTTTGGGACTAGTGACGTATCATTGTTGGCGTCACTACTTCTTGCTACCTTGCGCTGCGTGTGACGTGTTCTCTCCCTTAACACCCATAATAACTTGCATATTGCTTTAACTTACGTTAATCTCACTCAACTTAAGTGTATTCAATTAAGAAACATGGTCCATGTCTAGCGTGTGGGTTTTATTTTCGTTACATCAACCACTTCCTTCGTTACGTGAGTCATAATGTATATATTGTATTATTTGAAGTTGAATTAAGGATAAATGATATTTAAAGATGGATTATCATCACATCTTCATCGACTTGAAAGTTAAAGGATAAGAATAATTTAAAATCCTTTATTTTGTTCTCACGTACATGAAAAATAAATACAGGGTAAGAAGAGACAAAAATGGATGTAATTAATTATACATTTAGTTTAATAGTTATATTTAAAAAATAATTAATAAGTTTAAAAAATGGGACTATTTTGTTTCAAACTCCTTCTTATAAAGAGGTTGAAGAAATTAAAAATCTCCCAAAATTGTTTATTGAAAAATGAAAAGAATAATGAGTTGAGAAAAATAGTGGTGCATAAGCAAAAAAAGTCTATACTAATACTAGAAATAATAATTGATGTTGCGCCCACCCCTACATTCATGCAAGAGGCAAAATAAGTGGTCCTAACAAAGTTGAATAAATTACGAAAGCTGTCGATCTAAATTATATAGTGAATAGAAAGTTACTTACGAATCATTGCTCTTTGGACTTTTATGAGGAATAGTTTCATTCCAATACACCAAGAATGGAGGAGGGAGAGGAAAATCATTATATATATATATATATATATATATATATATATATATATATATATATATATATATATATATTAAATATTTTTATTGGATACATTTTTTTTTCATAACTTATTACGTAAAATAAATTAAAAACAATTTATACATACATTATAAGTTATTTTTATAAGTCATCTCGAACACTTACACATTTTTTTGGAAATTTTAAATAAGTTTATAAGTTATAGTAGCAAAATGTTCTTGAAGATAATAATCAATCATGAGATTTTTGTTTTCCTTTAAAAAGGTAAAAAAAAAAACAATTATGGGATGTTTCTTACCTCCATATTCATATAAAATATATTATTCTTAATGTAAATAGGTTTCAAAAAGTTTATTCTGTAAATTTTTTGGATTGACTTTTAAATTTTTTTTATAATATTTCTAAAAAATATTTGAAAAGTTCAATTCATAATTTTTTTTAAATATTTAAAAAATTGAATTTAAAACGTTTACGAACAACCTTTTAGAAATATCTAGGGATTCAGTGTATTTTCATTTTTGTTTGGCTACTTCTCACACTTTCATATTTTTAAAAATATTATATTTATAGGTTGAAATATTTAATTATAATTAATAAATTAAGTTTAATTAATTAATATATATAATATATTTATATATTAAAATAATATAATAAAAAATATTTTTAATTATAATCATTTTTATTTTTTATTTTAATATGTATTTTTTTAAAAACGAGCCAACAGTCATATGCTTAACTTGTAGGATTAATAAATCAGGTGAAACAAGTTAAAAGAGACAACTAAAACTTTAACCTATCGCGTCAATTTTAAAATGGATTTACTCACCCATCCATCAAACACCGTCCTAATTGAAAATAAATACGTTAATAGTAAAATTATTCTGATTATCAGTGATTTCAATAATTGACCATTGATTTAAGGGATTTACGTGTCATTATATTATTTTAATAATAAATAATTCTATCGGTAATTTATGACATGTGACTAAATCATAGAGTTGAAAAAAATAATTTTAATAAATATAAAAAGGTAGAGAAGATCATCCGTAATTTATTATAAATAGTAAATATTAAATTCACGGTTACGATTTATTATCCATCATAAACTATTTCAGTCCCTTGTGTAAGGTAGGTTGAGTCAGTATAATATACTTGAACGGATAAAACTGTTTTTAAGTTATTCAAATTGATTAACTGAATTTGATTATTTCTATCTAATTTAGGAATCAATTAATTCAACGATAAAATTTATAAATTTATTCTTTATCTTCATTATTCCATTTTTAAATAATAATTTATTTTAATGATTAAATTACTTAAGATCACATAATATTAAGATGGAACTTAAAGAAACACAAAATTTTAAGTTGTTTCTCAATAATGTGATGATTATTTTTTGTCTTATCAATGTGATGATTACGATTTATCTAACTTTCAAGATTATTGATGTAATCATGAAGAATATTTCCTTTTCAACTATTATCCCACACATGATTTTGAAACTAATAATTTAATTGAATGTTTATACCGAAGAGATAAATTATGTAATGATATCAAACTGATATATTGTTGGGATAAATACAGTAATATTGATACATGAAATCATGTTTTTATAAATTAAATCAAATATAAAATTATATTTAATTTAAAATCTTAAAATAATATATATGTTCGAGAGTGTCTTTTATCTACATATTGTTCAAACTTTTTTTATTTTTATCCCATTCGATATCTAACTCATTCCTAAATTGTAACAAAATTCAAAGTAAAATAAAAATCAATAGTAACAATAAGCGTGTTAATAGTTTAGCCACTGATCAAAATTATAGAAAAATATTAACATTAATAATAATATAAATTTAATTAGTTTATGAATGTAGTTAATTGAGACTGATGAAAGCCGTTTGAAAGGAATCTACAAATTCATATTAGAATATGACTCATTTCACAGATACATACTAAGAGGATTTGGATTTATTACAGTAACGAATGGTATAGCTAGCTAAAACTTGGATTGTCTCATTCATCTTTTACGTTGGGTTTAGACTTTAGATTGAGTCTCATTCAATTGGCACAAATACGTTCCCAGTCTGAATCAGTAGACATAGATGAAATATCAGCACACGATTCGTCGACTACATGGTGAATCCAAATCTTTAACACCATGGATTTGTTTCTGAATCCTTCATCTTATCTCATCTTTTTTACTGCTAGTCAACACACTCACGTCCACATCTTAACTGTGTCTAGAAATATCCACGAACCCCTTTATGGCTTTATGAAAGAGCTGGACAGAAAGAAATTAATAAGACAGAAAAAGAAGGATAGATTCTTTTTTTTTCAAACATAAATATGCCCATGATATTTCATGGTCTCCTTTGTTTGTGCTCATTTTCTTTGTGCCTCTCTCTCCCCCTCTCTCTTGTTTTCTTGCTTTTTCTTCTTTTCCAAACAGTCTCCTGAAGCATCATAATGGTTAAGGAAAGTGGTATTTGTTTGCTATCTTTAGATGTTATTTGTAAGAAAATGAGAAATAAAGTATTAGGACATTGATCAAGTTGCAGTGGGAATCACGAGAGTGCCATAAAATGTACTAGATTCTTTTCTCACCTTTTTCGTTAACTTTGGAGTTTGGATTCCATACCCACATTCATGCGACGTCCTTTCATTAATCATTTAGGAGTTACTGCGCCTTCTCCTTCCTTGAACCTGCAACCATTTTACAAAAAGAAGATCAAAAGAAATTAAAAGAAAAGCGCTACCTACATAAAACACCATCTACTCACAACTCATTACACTCAATACCTATGTTACACTAACTATCTCGAGCCAATCAAATTAGGGTAGTTGTAAAGGGTTTGAATTATTTGCAATGCAAAGGGCTATAAGTTCATGCATACCCCATTGACACTGATATAAAAATATGTTCTAGCCACCTATTGTTTCTCGGTAAAAACTTTTCAGAGTTTGGTTAGACTTGGTGCATTGCGTGTAAGTCATCTTTCATGGTCCTGAACAATGAAACACTTGAAGGAAATTTGAAAACGATTTCTGTAAATGGAGCAGAAAAGGTGTGCAGAATGATCAATCATGAAGTGAAATGGATTTGGAAGAAGAATGTTCCACCATTCTGCTGCAAATAATCAGTGGATTACAGAAGAAAAAGAAGTGGAGCAGAAAAAAGAAGGAAGAAAGCATTTGATATATATATATATATATATATAGTAGTTCTCTTCTCATCCTATTACAGTATTAGCTATTATGTCATATAAGTGCTTGTAACAATAATGGCTAACAAGACTGAAGACAAAAAATATTATTCAATTTGAGGATGTTTTACTGTGAATTATATTTTTTGGAGATCTCATTAGAATCTCAAATTAAACGTTAGTGGGGTGGTAAGGGTCTGACAGCAGTACCCAATTAATTATACGATGAAAAAAGAAAGATATTCGTTAGATGAAGCCATTGAATGGTCTATAAAGAGAGCTAACAGCAAAATAAAGTTTCCCTCGATGAGACGGGATAAGATTGTATGACATGACTAGACTTAAGAGAGAAAAAGCTTTGATGTTACATGGAGATGATGCCCTTGGATATTTCTCAAGTTCTCATTTATACTTACACCCTTTAAAATAAATAAATAATTAATTAGCTAGAAAATCATTTTCATTAATGTTTAGTATTATATGGAGCTCTATGTTTGCAACTACTTATCTGATATATTGTTTTCTCTTATAAGTCTATGTGTCACACCCTTTTATTTATTTAACTATTTATTGATCTCATTAAACAGAAAAATTGCAGTTTTGGTGGTCACTATTGTTTGAGTGTTATCTTTTTTCTTTAGTTTATGTAGTACTCCGGACATTCTACGGTCTTAGAAAGATAATATTATAATTTTGAAGATGCAAAGGATGTGTTTCATTTACTAATTAATGATGGATTGTGGATAGACTCTAGCATGTTATTGTCGTTTTGACATGTTGAAACTACATATAAGACTTGTTGAAATGTTGGAGCTAAAAAACACAGAAGAAAACAAACTTTTAAAAGATTGCTTTACTTTAAATAGTTTAGATTATAACATTTTTTGTTGCTGAAAAGATAAATATATGTTTACATTCCTTCTTGATGTTATCATGAGTATGACCTATGATTAGCGTGGCCACTGAGAACATGCATGACTGAAAAGGCAATTTGTCTCAACTTCCACTCTCAAATTTGTGAAGCAGGGTCATGGGGTACAAATCCTCTTGAAACCGCTCACGCTCACTAATTACTATGTTATTATATATATCATACTAATCTTTTTGCTTTGATATGTGGAGCTCCCTCCATATTTGAGTACATTAGTCATGAAGACACAAATGCCAAGGGAGTATTGGAATCTCTTCATCCTGGACCAAGGTTTATTACTTTCCGTGGGAGACAAAAGTTTGGTGCTTCTGTTAAAGCATTAGGTTCTATAAAAAGAAACAGCAAATTCATCAAGTCTCAGACTATTGGTTTGCTATAGCGTGGTATCATTCACATAAACAATTCAATGGACATAATTAATTGGGTATGAAAAATGGGGATACTGGGTTCTGTCAGGTATATAAAGCTATTCAAGACCCTTTCCTATCAGTCCACTTAATAACAGTTTATTCATGAAAGTAATGGAGTTTTTACACCCAAATCTTATTATGCTTTCTTATGAAACTAGAAACTTTTTACACAAAATATATACTTATTGTGAATCATGTGGGAGGAATGAGTAGGAAATCATTTCTGACAAGTTGACTGATGAATTTCATTCCCTGATTATAAGAAATTATCTATATCTATTACCATAAGGGCATATTAATTGTTCTTCTACACCACACTACCAAAAAGAACACCAATAACATAACTGTCTCTTAAAATATACGTTCATACATATAACTTTTAAATTGATATTATTAAAAGAATATTTCTTAAAAAGAAATGTCAGTTTTATAAATAAATTTTACAACCCCAACAACTTAATTCTCAACTGAGACATATCCGAATTCAAACAAATGAATAAATGAATAATGAGTATAGAGTAAGCATTTGAAAGTCCATCTGCTAAACCAGAACTGATGAGAATACATGTTTCAAAGAATTAGCCATGACATTTATTATACGAATCAAGGAAATCCAAGCTCAAATACAAGCAATAAACCAAGCAATTAAGTTCAAACGCCAATTACAATCCAGAATAATCACCCGACATATAGTTTACAATTGGGGAGGAGTATAAAAAACACAACTCCTCAACAATCGTAGCATAATTAGACTCAACATCATGCTGTGTATTCCCTAATGGCCTAATCACTTCCCTAGTAATTAATTATGTACATGCGCACATCTTTTGTCCTACAGAAAATATAGTGGGTCAGCAACGACTTATGTCAAAATCTAACACGGATTGAGGAGTGCCCTCCAGCAAGCATGAGACTGGTGGAATGGTTAGTGTCTCCAAATCTCCATATGCATTCCAACAGAAAGGGTCATGCACTATGTCTCCTTGAGCTGGAAGAAGCTCAATTTCTGAGAGTGTTAAGTTGGTGCATGGGACAGAGTCACTGCAAGCAAAACGCATAGGGGGGCTCCTTATATCATAAGTCCCCTTTATGTTTGTGTAAATAATATTTGATACAGATACTGCAGAGGTCTTGTTGGTGCACTCCCTTGTGAGGCAGTAGAATTGGTCAATTATGATGGGATTTCTTACACTAACCATCTGAATGTTGCTGAATGTCACTCCAGATACTGACCCTGATCCACCTTGCCAAGTCTTGATCCTAACCCCATTATCTGTCACTTTTATAAGTGAGTCTCTCACCATAATATTCGAAACACAGGCTCGAGTGTCGTGATTCCCCAGACTACCAATGCTGCATAAGTTATACAGATAGCAGTTATGTCACAGAAGTTTTAAGTCAATATTGAAATTTATTGAAAATTGCCATTTTTTTTATAATATAACCTCTTATTTGACGAGTTTAATATTTTGTAGTTTTTAATCAACAATAAAGAATATGTTATAAAAAGTATGTCATCAACCCTCTTCAACTTTTTTATTTATTTTTGGACACAGCACAAAGCACTCTTCAAACTTAAGTTCTAGTTTATTTAATAACTTGACACTTAGTTCAAGACATGGTGTTAGAGTCTTTGTGACAAAGTAATCTAGAGTGCCATGATTGTCTCTTCCATTCTACATTAAGAAAAAAAAACCGTGGACTTAAGCAAAAGTTAAGGGAGTATTTGGCTTATAAATTTTGTTTTAAAGGAAAGTTTATTTTCCAGATATCATACACCCGCTATCAATGCCTTTTGATGCAATAGATGAGGAGATTAAAGCTTTCTCTGAAAGCAAATAATAGTTACCTAATTCCATGACCAGGTCCACATGTAATGTTTTTAATATCGACATCATTGCAGCCTGATCCAATGGATACACAATCATCGCCTACAGAAGATAATGATTCCCCAAACAAACATTAATAATGCCTTTTTATCCAAAAGCAGTGAAAAATTAGAAGAGTTTTCCGTGTCTCACCATTAGAAATAACAGAATTGTATATTTTCACGTTATTAGTATTTTCTATGTGAATTCCATCAGTATTGGGGCTAAGTTTTGGAGCTGTTATGTAGATTGATTCTATGTGGACATTTTTGCAGCCATCAAATCTGAAATGGAACTGAGGACTGTTCTTTATCCTTAGTCCTTGCACAGTCAAGTTGGAACTCATAAAAAACCTTATGGCCTGCACTATGTAGAATTACTCAATCACAATGCAAATAATACAAATAGAAGATGTAAACAAAAGAAAGTATTTGAAGGCTCACAATTGGACTATCACAGGTTCCAGGGAGTGTTGTCCCATTAGGTCCCTGAGGCATTTAATGGTAGGAAACATGGTGTTAAAGGCTGCTTGAAGGACCTAAATTATTGGAGGGAAAAAATAAAAATCTTACAATTCAAATTCATTAGTACCTTATGAGGCTTACAGGGGAGGTCCCACCATTTTTCTCCTCTCCCATCAATTAAACCACTTCCTTCCAGTGACATTCCATTGATTCTATAAAAGACCAACCATTGGTGTCTACTATTGTTCTTTGGCCAAGATTCAGGTCCATCAGGTGGCATGAGAGTGCCATCAACCTTATCCATATATTTGAGCCAAAAAAGTCCATTAGTAAGCTTTGCCCTTACAAAATTTAAGAAGCTAAGGACCAAAAGTTGCAAAATAAGTATAAATTATTACCTTCAACACCAAGACACCTTGACAAGGACCAGTGAAGATAGTGGACCGAATGAGGAAGGAGAAACCTTGGGGTGCAAGAATATTATTAACTGCTGATTCACTCTGGCAAGCAGTGTCCCATGCCATCTTAAATGACTCTGTATCATCTGTTTTTCCATCACCTATTGCTCCAAATTTTCGTACATCAAAAACGCCAGAGGCATTGTTATTGTTCTCATTATGAGGAGGGCTAGGAGGTGCAAGCTTTGAGTGTTTAGAAGATTTATGAGAATGTGGGTGCTTATGTTTTGAATGAGAGTAATGCCTAGCTTGGACCAGAAGAAATAAAGTAAGGAAAAATATAGAGAATGCTTGTGGTAAAATGGCAGAATGCTTCATTCTGAAAACTTTATCAGGGCGTGAAAATACAAAAGAAAATAAGGAAAACTAGTTGAAGCAAAAGAAACTAAGAGAAGAAACCTGTTACTGCCTGGTCTCTAAAACATAGAAAACCTGAGACCAATTGGCTTAGAGTGACTCACTGCCAACAACTATGAGAATGAAATCAGCACTTTGTAATTGTTGACTGACTAAATAGACCCTGAGTTTTGGTGAGTAGAATAAAGCAGTGTGTCTGGTTCTGTGCCACAAGTGAGCACTATGAGCACTAGAACACAAGTTGCAATAAGTTTAACTGAGTTTGGCCTTTGGAGTGCATGCAGAATCGAAAAGCTTAAGTTACTATATATAATAGCAAATCATAGTGGAAGGTCTGCTAAAGTTTCATATTCACGTTACCAATTTTTATAATGACTTTCACAGTGGGAAACGACAAATAATTCATAGCCTTGGCCTTCCTTTAAGAATGTGGAGTCTGCATATGACTGTTCTGAAAAGAGCCGAAGCGGAATAACGAGATATCAGGTTAGTGGGTAGTCGATAAGCCTCCCATGTTCTTCCCATAACATAACTGTCATTTTCTTTTTGCCCCACATTTTCTTAATTCTTCGTGTGTATACATATATACAGAATTAATGAATTAATTACACATATACACATATGTTAAAGCTAGATCACAAAATTTAAACCTTGTTTCTTATATTTGAAGAACAGATATTTCTGTGTATGTATAGTGGACATACAAATCATTTGGATCTGGCTTTCCACGATGGTGGCAAACTATTTAAAAAAAGAAAAAGAAAAAGATTCGTTTATGGCTAAGGAAAAATAAAGACATACAAACTTCCTCTTGTAACCACTCATAAAAAGAACAATTTGTAACCACCGAGCATAGGTGGGTGAGTGGTATGGTTTCACAAGGATCTCAATTTCGAGTTCTTGAGACTTGTCATCTACACATCCATATCCTTGTTTTATAACTAAACATGCATAAATGATTGCACATGAAGTATGCATGCAATAAATGATTTAGTCCTACAAATGTTGAAGTGACCAACCCAACAAGTTAGAAACATTAATGAACGATTTAATTTCATTTGGTTTCAATCTCAAAAGTGAATTATGCCAAATGATGCTAAATACATGATGTCTATACTCTATACAAGTTCTACTAGCTAGATTAAAAAAATTGAATAAACTATTAAAATCCAACGTCATTATAATGTAAACAATAGCAAAAAAGACAAAAACATGGACCCGACTGAACTTTGTCTCATAATAGTTTTAAAATACATGAATGCAGTTTTGGGAGTAAATAGTTATGCTTTGTCTGCATAATAATTAAAATATGATTACTTTACTGTCATGTTAGAGTATCTAAGAAGTCAAGTCAAGAATAAATAAGAAGTAGAATGCTTCATTAAAAATACAGTGAAAATACATGATAGAATACGTCACATTTAATTCTGTAACCAGAATTTCACTTTCACGGTGTCTGTAACGTCTATCACTCGGAGATTGAAAATTCATCTTTTCTGAGTTAAAATGTTCCCAGTTTCTTTCTTTGACTACCACTAATTCGGGTCAGTGTTTGACAATTTCTTGTACTACTGGTAGTTAATGATGACAATTTGGTATTTTTGTCAGCATTGGTATTAAGTGACTAGTCGAATATGTTGACCAAACCTTTTTACCTGTGTTATTTATTTATTTCATTTTATGTTGTAATTTTTTTTTTCTATTATCCTGAATTACCATTGTAATTCCGAAACACGAACACCAATGATAATCTATAAAATGATTTTAGCATGCAAAATCTTAATTACTAAAACCCAGTCCAAATTATCAATTGTTTAATCCAAATTTTTAATTTTTTTTGCTTTAAAAGCCGAAAGAGAAAAGTGGATGATCCAGTGGCTATGTTGTGCTGTAAATATATTAATTTAAACAAATATTTTATTTATATACATATAAAAATACATGCGTCGTGTCATATTATTTTTATCATGAGTAACATGCTCTAAAATATATTAATGTAGATAGGTATTTTAATACGTAACGTTGTTATATTCTATTCTATAAAATTTTTATTAATTATTTTTAAAGTCGTTAAGAAATTAATTGTTTTTTTATTTTAATATTTGTATCCACACATTAAAATTGTGTACATTATTAGGTACTGGACAGTTTATATTTGAATTTTCTACTTTATTTTTGAAACAAAAATATATTAGGTAACACATATCCAAAAATTTTGAAAAATTTGTTGCAGTCACAACACAACTCACGCGACATCCTTCTGGCTCGGTTTCAGATTTGACGATTATCGAAGAGAGAGAAATAATAAGTAATAAAAATTAATAACGAAGAACAATTTAAATTAATCCAGAAAAATAAAAGAAATATGCCAAAATATATTTTATTAATAAACAATTAGAATAAGGAAATTTTTTTCATTTGATTTATAGTATATATTTTAGATAAATGTATGTAAGAAATAAAAATATTATATAATATATTGTTTATGAAGTTAACTTTTTTATTAGGTTTATGGCCAAACCAAGAAGAAAAGGTCAAAGTCAAAGTCTTAGTTTCGAAGTTTATTTTCCTTGCACTAAAACCCCAAAAACAAAAATAGCTTGATTTCACTTTCCATTTAAACCATTAAAAGTATGAAAAAAAATATATAATATAATTATTTTTTTAAATCACAATAGATCTTAACTATTAATTTTATCGTTGAATAATATACTATTAATAAATAATAAATAAATATAAAAAATATAAAAGATAAAATTATAAATATAAATATATTTAATCATAGTTAAATTTGTCATGCTAATTAAAATCATAAATAAAAAAGATTGGTCAACATGTCCACAGCACCGAAAAAAATCAACCGATGATTAAGTTGATGCTTTCAATAAATGTGAAAAAGAATCCATAAAACTACATGTAGCTAACGACAATAAGTCACTCCATCCAGCGAGAAGACAGTGAAAAACACCAAGGTACAGTAGCACATCAAACAAAGAACGATAATGTCCAAACAAAGGTATGTATGGGTTTCAGTATTCCTCAGGTGACTCTCTATAGACTAACTCTGTGCTTGAAAAATCTGTGTGATGTTTAGGTTGCAGGGTAAGGTGGCTATTGTGACCGGTGGAGCCACCGGAATAGGAGCAGAAACAGTGAAGATATTCGTAGAAAACGGAGCATCGGTGGTCATAGCAGACATAAAGGAGGAATTAGGTCAGAGTTTGGCAATTTCAATTGGCTCGGAGAAAGTGAGTTATCGCCATTGTGATGTCAGAGACGAGAATCAAGTTTCGGAAACAGTAGCTTTCGCAGTGGAGAAATATGGGAGCTTAGACATCATGTTCAGCAACGCTGGCGTCGCAGGATCTTATTTAACCATACTAGACTTGGATCTGAACAAATTCGACGACACCATGGCTGTTAATGTTCGAGGTGCAGCTGCAATGATCAAGCACGCGGCACGTGTCATGGTTGCTACGAAAACGCGTGGATCGATAATTTGCACTGCCAGCGTGGCTTGTTCCTTCGGCGGAAGCGCGGGCCATGAATACACCACATCCAAACACGGCGTTGTTGGGCTTGTTCGATCGGCGTGTGGCGAGCTTGGAGCTTATGGGATAAGAGTGAATTCCATCTCGCCTTATGCACTTGCCTCGCCTCTTACTTGCGACGCACTCGATGTGGGACCTGCTGAAGTTGAAGCTATGGCACATGGTTCTGCTATTTTGGAGGGAATTACGTTGAAGGCTAATCATATTGCGGAAGCTGCTCTGTTTCTTGCCTCTGATGAATCCATTTATATCAGTGGCCACAACTTGGCCGTCGATGGAGGTTTCTCCTCCGTTAACCGCTGGCTTCCTAGGATTCAAAAGTAAACTATCTCACAAAAAGAAGAAGGAAATAAGCGTCTTTTCGACAGGGTCAACTTTCTTTTCCGCAGTTCTTCTTAATCTCTGTTCTGTAACTTTTAAATTCTTATTTTATGTGTTGCATTACCTCTGTGTGTAAAAATTACGAATTACAATGTCAATTGGTTATCTACCGATTAAGTTAAAAAGAAATATAATTATATTTTTTTATAAGATTTATTTTTATTTGCATTTGAGTCTGGGTAAAAAAAGAGAGAAGAGATGACAACGAGATAGAAAAGGGTTTTTATGAGATACAGGAACAAGTCACCAAGCAAATAAGAACGTGTTATTGAGAATAATTTTGTACAAATAAGTTACCTTGAAGAAGAAGTTTTATTACTGTGATGATTTTATAATTTATTGTCTTCTTTTATATATTTGTTAAGGTTATTTATTATTCACTTTATTAGTGAAGAAAAAGTATTTTGTTATTTTTAGGTGATTTTAAGATAATTTATATTGTACTATTAATTATTATTAGTGATGAGAAATTTTTCACGTTAAAATATAGTATTTTCTTGTTTTTTTGATATTTTATTTTTGGTGCACACTATCATTTATTTATATGTTATTTGATATTTTCATAGCCTAGTGTTATTTATACAAGAAGAAAGAAATTGAGTTTTGCTTTCACTTATAATTTTGGTATCTTCCCCAACAACTGATATAGAACTCCGGTTAAGGACTCTGGTTTGTGTTCTAAAATGGGAGATAGTGATAGTGCTGGAACTATGATTAAGTTGGATTCTTCTAATTACACAATATGGAAATCTTGAATGGAAGATTTATTATTTTGTAAAGACCTATATGATCCTATTGAGGAAAAAGGTATTAAACCAGTTGATAAATTTGAAGGAGATTGAAAAAAAATAGGAAGACTATTGGTATGATTAAACAATGGATAGGTCAATCTGTTTATCATCATGTATCTAGTGAGACTCTAACTTATAACTTATGGAAGAAATCCAAAGGAGATTGGAAGAAAATAGAAAGACTATTGGTATGATTAGACAATGGATAGACCAATTTATTTATATCATCATGTGTCTAGTGAGACTGGCTTATAACTTATTGAATAAATTAAGTGAGTTATTTAAGTCTAAAAATTTCTTGAATAAGACATTCCTGATTAGGAAACTTATAAATTTGAAATACAAGGATGATTCCTCTGTGGCAGAACACTTGAGCAGTTTTCAAAATATGGTGAATCAATTAATCATCATGGAGATTGAGTTGGATGATAAGCTACTTGCATTGTTGTTGTTTAGCTCATTACCAGACAGTTGGGAGACATTAGTGATATCTTTGAGTAATTATGCTCCTAATGGAAAATTGACTTTTGTCATGATCAAGTATAGTTTTTTAAACGAAGAAACTAGGAGGAAAGGAAGTTCTCAGGTTAACTTTTCTACTCAAAATGAAGCTATAGTTTTGAAGTCAAGAGAAAGAAATCAATATAGAAATTCTCATAGATTTTATGACAGTAAAGAGTCAAGAGGAAAGTCAAAAGAAAGGAAAAACATCACATGTTTCTATTGTAATAAATCAGGAAATATGATAAAAGACTGTAGGATCCTCAAAAGAGAGATTTTATGACCGTAAAAAGTCAAGAAGAAAGTCAAAAGAAAGGAAAAATATCACATGTTTCCATTACAATAAATTAGGACATATGATCAAATATTGCAGGCTCCTCAAAAGAGAAGGATCAAGAGATAAAAGACAAGAGGAATCAATATAGAAATTCTCATAAATTTTATGACCGTAAAAAGTCAAGAGAAAAGTCAAAAGAAAGGAAAAATATCATATGTTTCCATTACAATAAATCAAAGACTGCAAGTCCTCAAGAAAGAAAGATCAAGACTAATAATAATAATAATAAAAGAGAAGATAGAGATGTCAAGAGTATTATGGGTTGTTGATTCTGTTGTTTTATTTCATGTTACACCTCATCATGAATATTTTACATCCTACATTGTTGAAGATTTTAGGCATGTAAAAATGAGAAATCAAGGAGTAAGAAAGGTTGTTGGTATTAGAGATATTTGGATAGAAACTAATACCATTGATGAAAATAATCTCCTCCTTCCACTAAAGAGATGCTCAAGTTTGCACCTTAAGCTAGTGACCAAAAATTGTTCCCCAAGTCTCAAAAGAAGACTTGGCATTAGCTCCTCTAAGGAAGGTTCTTTGTTTAGGACACAAGAGGAAGAAAATCTCGAAAAGATATTTGAAGTCAAGACAAAACGGGATACAAGCAAAATTGCAAGTTCCACACACTAAACTTGGACTTCACTCGAATGTGATTCAAAAAGTTACACAAGGGGTCATATATATAGTTGTTCCCCTCTCATTCACTCACTCACCTAAGGAATGTGATACTAATTTTACCTTATACAAGTGATATCCGAAGTTCCTAGCTTCAAGTCCCACCTAAACCACTTTAAATTATATTTATGAGTTTATATACAAAAAAAATCTCAAATGTTGCAACCAAAAGTTGAATCTTAGACCTCCTTAAGTGTTTTGGCCGAATTTGAAAAGCTAAAATGATGTATTCCCTTTTTGTTGCAGCTAACACTTGAACCTTAAGTACAACCCCTTCAAGTTTGGGTCTTGTTTAAAGCCCAGTGTGGTGAGACCCAATGTGTTATAGCCCAGATGGTCCTCCATCAATGACCATTCTAGAAAGGTTTGAGCTTTTGTTTTGAAATCCAAAGACCAAGTACTTGATGTGTTCAAAGTTTGGGCTTTATTTGAAGCCTAGTGTGTTGAAGCCCAGTGTAGTGAGACCCAATGTGTTATAGCCCAGATGATCCTCCATCAATGACCATTCTAGAAAGGTTTAGGCTTTTGTTTTAAAATTCAAAGACCAAGTACTTGATGTGTTCAAGCATTTCCATGCAAGGTTGAAAGAGAAACAGTCAAGTTGTTGAAATGTATTAGAGCAGATAATGGTGTTGAATTTAGAGGTCCGTTTGAGCATTATTGCAAGAAGCATGACATTGAATGAATCACACAATTAAGAACTGCAGTGGACTTAATTAACTTATCTTCATTCATTTCTCTTAATGGTGATGTCCCTGAGATTGTGTGGAAGGAGAAAGATGTTTCTTATAATCATTTGAAATTTTTTGGTTGTAAAACATTTGTCCACATCCCTAGAGATGAAAGATCTAAGATTGATGGGAAGTGTAAACAATGTATTTTTTTGGGTTATGGTCGTGATGATTTTTGTTACAGATTTTGGGATCCAGTTAATAAGAAGATTTTTAGAAGCTGAAATGTTGTTTTTCTTAAAGATCAGACCATTAAAGATATTGACAAGAAAGAAAAGTCAAGACATATTGCTCCTGAGTGCATTGATGTTGAGTCTGAACCTCCTACTAGTGTCATTAATCATGGGAGAGATGAGAATGCAGATTTGGAGAATGTAAATAATATGTCTGAGACTCAAGCCAATGAACCAACTGAATCAGTTCTCCCTGAACATCCTATGGAACCTTAGTTGAGAAGATCTACTAGAGAGATTTGTCCTTTTTCAAAAAAATCCACCAAATTGGTTTGTGTTGTTAACTGATGGGGAAGAGCTTGAAAGCTATGAAGAAGCTATGTTACATAAAGAGAAAGATATAAAGTCATGCAAAAAGAGATGAAATCTTTACATGAGAATCACACATTTAAGTTGGTGAAGTTGTCTCAAGGCAAGAGAATACTTAAAAATAAATGGGTGTTCAAACTTAAACCAGAGGAGAGTAACTCACATCCAATATATAAAGCAAGGTTGGTAGTAAAAAGATTTAGTCAGAAGAAAGACATTGATTTTGAAGAAATATTTTCACCTATGGTAAAAATGTCTTCAATTAGAGTTGTACTTGGCTTAGCAGCAAGTTTAAATTTAAAAGTTGAGCAACTTGATATGAAAACAGTCTTCCTTCACGGTAACTTGGAGGAAGATATCTATATGGAGCAACCTGAGAGTTTCACAGTCAAAGGTAAAGAGAAGCTTGTTTGCAAGTTGAGAAATAGCTTGTATGGACTCAAACAAGCTCCAAGACAATAATACAAGAAGTTTGACATCATTATGATGGATCATGGGTATAATAAAACCTCTTTTGATAATTGTGTTTTTGTTAAGAGATTTTATGATGGAAGATTTATTACTCTCTTACTTTATGTTGATGACATTATGATTGTTGTTCATGATACGAGAGAGATTTAACAAAACCTGTCAGACCAGGCAAATGGTACTTTTGACCCACAACAAAAGGGTAACTCTTGGCCCAAGACAATAACGGGAAGATGTTAGGCTTTGACTTTGATACCATGTTAAGATTCTAACATAAAACCAATTGATAATATGTGAAGTATCCTAACATGTATTTAAATCATACCAAATGACATAAGACAGACGATGTAGGACTTCCAACACGCCCCCTTCAACAAAGTCTGCTAGACCAGGCAAAGGGTATTTTTGACCCATAACGAAAGGGAAATTCTTAGTCCAAGAAAATAACTGGAAAGATGTTAGACTTTGACTCTGATACCAACTTGAGAAACTTATTTAGGATTTTCAATATAGTATCAAAAAGCACTGTTACATTATATTTATAGATAAAAAAAAGATACAATAGAGAGGATAAGGGTCTCAACCCAAACCTTAACCCTAGTCCAAGGAAAGATAGAAAAACATCATATTTCAACACTTCCCCTCAAGTTGGAGCATATAGATTGTATGAATCAAGCTTGGAACAAATAAACTGAATCCTGAGACCTCTCAAGGATTTAGTTAAAATGTCTGTCAATTGCTCATTGGAACTTACAAATTCAGTTACAAGTTCATTAGACATTAACTTTTCTCTAACAAAGTGACAATCAATCTCGATATGTTTTGTTCTTTCATGAAAGACTGGATTGGGGTAATATGGAGAGCTGCCTGATTATTATAAAACAACTTCATCTGTCCA